CTAGCATATTCATAAATAACCACAATGGGTTTCACAGCTTCTCAGCAGCAGGTTGTTCTATCGTGCATATACTCTACCCCCCACGAGTGACAGTTTTCCTCTTTAAAATCCTTCAACAGGCATTCAAACCTGCAGAATTTCCTAACAGTGCCCCTTTTTACCCTCCTTTTCCTGCCATCGTTACTCTTTTGCAATTGTCTACTGAACCAATGTATTTTATAGCTGCTGTGTATCAACAGGAAGTTCAAGTACGTTTACCTAAATTTCCCTTGTAAAGAGTTACCGGACTCGGCTGCCTCCCAGTGTCCCCTATAGGCCTATCTGTTCGCAGAAGGACTGCAACTTGTATGTCCTGTATAGATGTACGTCCCCCATTTCTGAGTAAAATATTTTACACAAATTTGAACAATTCGCTTAAGTGCATTCCCAAAAAAGTCGTAAATTTTGAATTCACAACCAAATGGTGAAGTATATATTGATTCCTTCGGAAATTATATTTCGACAGTTAGCGAACTGTACTCATCTTAGTAGTATGGGTGGAAAACTTGGCCAAACTGTGATTAACGGCACGGCTTTATGTTAGGTCTCCATAGGTTAGTTGGATAAAGAGGTAGTGCTATTGAAACCTCATACATTCTCGCGTGACTCGAATACTACCAAGGCCGGTGAATTGTCCACTAATGAGTAAAATAAATACTCCTATGACAAAAATAAATAATGTTTTGCCTTACCAAGTCCTTCATTCTAAATTTCCAACTGTAACCAATAACGCCTGTGGTTCAAAAGTTATTATTAGTATCAGAGACGTCCCCTTGTTTTCATTTAGTGGCTGTGTCGTCACAAATGCAAATTTCACGCTACGCTACGCATGAGATCACCCGATGACAGTCTCGGTCGTCCGACCTATGTCGCCGCAAACTGCGTCAACGCCCGATCACTCATGGGGCCAATGGGCCCATACGCCAACGCTCAGAATTTGCCCTCTCGTGACTGGGCGCACAAATGCGGCCAATCATCTCCCTCACACTGATACATACAAAAGCCGCTTTGTATGCGCTTAAGACAAATCCGTGCTCTCACACGTTACTTGCGGGTCTCATGGCGGTACGCATGTCATTCCAGATATCAAGCTCCTTATACCTATTTTCAATCCCTTCTGTACAGAATAGTATATTCCTTCCACACTGGCCTCCCAATTATTTTTCTTTCTACAAGGATGCTGGTCTGTTTGTCGCACTGGTTAGGGTTTTACCTAATAATCTAACCCCCTGCGATGTTTCCGCCTACTAGGGAACTTGTGGCTGCAGGTAGCAAGGTCACAATAAGAACGCATGTTTATGCTCTAATTTTAAATAAGCCCATCATCAGAGAGTTCCTGCACATAACATCTGCATATGGTGCCCAAAGCGAGGTCAGGCAACGTGTGATAATCACACCCTCAAATATTCCACCCCTAAAGATTGGTTTTCTATACTCCGTCTGGTGGACTGTGGCAAAGCCCTTTTAACCTGGGTTTTGGAAATTGATAACGACAGCTGCTTCATGGTTGCTAAATATCATTAGAATATCATCAGGCTTAGGAAATGAAAAATATATACAAGTCATATGAGCGCGTCATCTTCTGCGATGGAGTTTGAATCTTGTGGATACCATAATGCCCTGCGGCACTGTTACTACGGGTGATAGCGGACAGTGCGGCATAGGAGGCATGCCACTGATATGTTTTAACAAATAATGCCAAAGCTCTGTAGCTGTTTCACGTTTGTTACCGATCATCCGTACGCAATGAGCCTTACGAAATGGGTTATATATATGTATGCTTTAAAGAATTTCTTCGTAAAATGTCCATTCTTACCCTATCCTAATATATAAACTTTAAGTTCAGTGTTGCTGCTTCTGACGGCACGCGTTATTTTCGACCAAATGTTTCCTTACTCTTTCTGATCAGGAACGTCATTTAACATTATCTTTCATCTACTTTATCAGGATACTTTGTCGGGGCTGGCGCAGAGCACAGTTCATGGAAATAAAATCGATCAAGCGGTTATGGATTAGGCATTTGAATAGTGCGCCCCTAACGCGAACACTTCCATGCGTTTGTCTTTGTCGCATAGAATCAAAGTTCGCAGATTAATAAAATACGACCCATTTCTGTGGAGGCTGCTAACAGTTTGCCGTCTGGTGTTGGTCAGTAAACTCTAGAAACGTTTTCCGGTTGTATATTATTGTGTTTAGTATGCTGCCCTGACAAAGTAGTGGTTCAAACTCTAAATGTCCGTACCAACGCTGTGACTATCACGAGCATGTCCAAGTGCGCACCCTTAGCAAACCGGTTTAGGCAAATCTTGGATGTTTCAACTGATCAGTAGTCTTGAAAACACAATCAGGTACGCCCCTTCAACGTGAACTTGGGGCTCGGATATGGCTGCCAAAATGCACTTGTCGTACTCCCGCACCTAATTCAGGATTTTCCTTATTGATGTTTAACTTCTCCTCATGTCTGCGGTTCGGCCTAAAACGCTGAATTATACCAAATAATGCACGTTTCCACAATAATAATTTTGCCCGTATTCTGGGTAACATTACGCTATGCTCTTTATTTCACATTCAGTCTTTGCCTGTTTTTTCGGTTCGGCTTAGTAGGCTGCAGTAGGTATCACCGTAAACTTCACATGGTCGCAAAGCATTCAAACGCTACAAATGTACATGTCTATTGTTGTGTCCTAGTATCCAAAAAACCTCTAGCCTGAGTCTTTTCAACAATTAAGACACCCTATTAATATTTTGACTGAGATTTTAAACGGTGGAAAAAGATCATGAAATTAAGCAGCCAAAAGGACACATTTTGTTTAAAATATGCAGTTACCGAAACTAAATCACGAGCAAAAGTGTTAAAAATAATGTTTGGAAGAAGTCTGGGGATTTGTGTTACAGGAACAGTAAATAGTGAGCGAAAGTGCGAAAAATAATATCTGAAAAAAGTTTTAGGAAGAAACTTAAATCTTGCATTCGGAATTCAAACCAGCTGCAATCCGTAGGCCTTTGAATCTAAGAGTTGCTTTAGATAGCTTTCGTGCAGATGGCAAATATATCAAGTGCAAACACTCCCGCCTAGAAGAAAGAAGAAGAAATGATAGTTGATAGTATTGGCAGCAAAAAGGAGACTGGATTGGCCATTTCTTGCTCATTAGCAATCGTAAGCCAGGCATGCCCAGTGCCGAGTGGCGTAACATGCGAAGCCAGAAATCTTGACCATGTTGCTCAGAATTACAACGAGCTGGGATTACCGTGAAACTACTTCAGTTTTCTAGCTTAGCATTAAAATTCCCTATGCTAAAATTGACTTAGACACAGAAAAACCCAACAATATTTGTGCTTTAAACTGACTCATAGAAGAAATAAATGCATATACGTTTCAAAAGACCCAAAAAACTTTTCTCACAATTCGATTGATATACTCGATTTTGTTAAACAATTAATAAAATTACTAAAATTACCTGCACAACAACCAGGATGATCGGAGCGATTAGGAAAAGTTTTTTCTTTTCCTCCAAAAACTTGTCAATTTTCGTCTGGCAGCCTATCACTTTTAGTTTCTCCGCTTCAGCAAGTTCGCACTTTTCGGGCAATTTGTTGTCCTTCGCACAGCATGCCTTCGGCAGTGCTAAAATCCGAAGTAACAGGTACAAGATAATTTTTTTAGAAAATCTGGGTGGAAAATATGACCTAACGTTGTACTTGTTTAAGCTGTTTTGAAGTCGTCACTAGACAACAATATTTAGACGCCAGCCATTGATCAGTACATATCAAGGCAGACTGTGTTCGGAACTCGACGTTATCTCGTTCACACAGTCATCATCCGCACTGTTGTAACCTCGTAGCCGGATAGCTTGAGGTTAATCCCTGGCACGTAACCGTCCACATAATAAATCCGGCTCACGCAATTATCAGACCCGTATCCGACGCTGACAAGACAACTGTGTTAATAAGTGAGTCGAACGTGAAGTGTCTAGCCAGTACCGCATCAATTAGGACCCAATTGAAGTGTCAAGCCAGTACCGCATCAATTAAGACGCAAGCGGTGGCTACAGAAATGAACAATTCTCACACACACGCGGTGACCACTATGAACTATAAATACCGTGCAGCCTGTGCATGTATCCACCTCATTTGCGCATGACCATGCCTATGTTATCATCACCTATGATTAAGGATTTCCGACGGAATCCGAAACGTCAGGCAAACAAAACACTTGTTCCAGCGATTGCATCCTCTTCTCCTGAATCTGGCGCAATTGTAAATATTGCGACGCGTTATAGGTCGTGGTTAACAAGGCTGTCAACTGATGTGATATTTTGGTATTTTGGGTGCCGGCAGATGAATTCAGTAGGCATCTTCTCAAAATATGC